GAGGAGATACTGAATGTTTGGATGCATTTTAGGCAGCCATGACCCAGGAAGGATTATTATTATTATTATTATTATTTTATTATTTATATAGCGCCAACAAATTCCGTAGCGCTGTACAATGGATCTCTAAAAGCCATCTGAGGAGTTGCCAGTAAAGTTATCACTAGGCTGTAATGTAAACACTGCATTTTCTCTGAAACAACTGTGTTTACAGCAAAAGGCCTGAAGGTAATGATTCTACTCACCAGAACAAATTCAATAAGCTGTAGTTGTTCTGGAGAATATAGTGTCCCTTTAATCTTTACTATGATCTGTTTTTCTTCTCATCATGTGACTGCATGTCATATCTCCCTGCTTCCTGTTTTTCAAGCCAGACTGTTCACCAAAGGCCATGCTCCTGTAGCCCCATGTAGCTAGAGCGCAGCTAAGCGAAAAAAGGCCTTGACAGGGGTTAGGAGGCGGGCTTAGGAGGAAGTAAGCAAGGGAGTGGAGTTATGGGTAAGTAGGTTTGGCTATTTAAATGGGCAGCCATTTTAGGTGAGTCATTTCTAATTTCCTACCTGGTTGAGTCTGTGTTCGCTCCTGTGGTCACAGATTTGGCTTGGTAGGGTTTTCTTTCTTTTGTCTCCCTGAAGGACCGATGGACGACGTGGAGCGTCTGCTTGAGGGGATCCGGTCGGCGGCGCGGCATCAGGGTGCAGACTGGCTGAGGGGCCAGCTGGGTCCGGCCCTGGCGGAGGCGGCTGACCGGGACGGCGGCGGTGGCAGACCAGTCCGGGCCAGGAGGCCCCCGGAGAGGCTAAGCCCGGGCAGGGGGCCCGGTGAAGGCATCCCTGGCGGCCCTGACGGTTCCGGTGCGGGCGGCAGCAGGCCCGGCGGCCGCGTGGTAGAGGCCCCGCCTCCCCGCGAGCGTCCGGGGCCTAGGACCAGTGCCCGGCGCCGGATGGAAGTTCGGGACGGGGCCGTTGCGGCTGCCGGGTCGGAGGTGGCCGGGCGGTCCCCTGGAAAAGCGGGTAGCACGGAGGTGCGGCCCAGGAGGGCTCCCACCCCGTCGGAGCCGGTGGACGACGGGGCCGGGACTGGGAAGACACGTGGCCGGCCCCTGGGGCAGCAGGCAAGTACAGGGGGCTCCGGCCGAGGCCCCCTTGGCGGGAAAAGTGCTGGGGGGGATTCAGCAAGGGGTGGGGGCCGGAGAGTGACGGTGGGTGGCAGGCAGGCCTCCCTGGGATCCCTAGTGGGGGATGGGCGGGGCGCAGGGGCCACGGGAGGGGGGAGTGCCAGAAGGGGGGTGGGGGTTGGGGGTGGTAAGGAAACGCTGGGCTCTGCTGGCATAGGGAGCGGGTCCTCCACGGGTTCTGGGGGTAGGCCTGATCAGTTTGGGCCGGTTAGGCCTGGTAAAGGGGATGGAGGGGCTTCAGCTGCCAGTCAGGTTAAGGGGGGTCAGGAGGCTGTTAGGCTAGGAGCTGGCTTAGGTGGGGGGTTGGGTTCTCGCTTGGAGGGTAGGCAGTTGGGGGTGCGGAGCTTTAGGGGGGGGTCTGGTTCAGGGTGTAGTGGTGGCAGTCTTTCGCCGGTTAGAACCTTGGAGTCCAGGGGGAGGAGGGGTAGGTCCCGGCAGCACCGCTCCACGTCAGGCAGCTCAGCGGAGGGCAGGGCCATTGTCCCCAGGGGAGGTCGGCGGGGACAGTCCCCGGGTGGGGATAGGAGGAGTCGCAGTCCTAGGGGCTCCCGCGCGCGACGCGGACAGGGTGCGCAGCAGGAGGCTTTGGCATTGGGCAGGCGCTCCCAGGGTCGTGACAGGAGGGAGGCAGGTGCTCAGTACACCCTACCCAGGACCTCTTCTCCTCTTTCCAGGTCTCGGAGCCGTTCCCTCTCTCCACAGGCGAGGCACCGGTTTGGCTCCCCGGTTGGCGAGGCATCGACGGGAGTCGCTCTTCCTGGACATCGGGCGATCGACAACGCAGCCCCTGCCGCTCTGGTGTCGGGGGGCTTGGCCGGTGAGTCCTGCGGGTCACTACACTCCAGCGCTTTAGTTAACACACTTTAGGCACTACTCCACTCATTGGGGGCGGGGGGTGACATGGGGGGCGGCATTGGTTGGGTCTGGGCTCCGGGGACTGAGGTCACAGGTTCTGGTGGGGTTTCCGCGGGGCCTAGCTCGGGCGGGGACGCTGGGGTGGCGCCGGAGACGGCGGAGACTGGGAGTGACAGGGCGGAATTGTCCGGGGGTATTCCGGACGTGGCTAGACAGCACGCGTACGTTTCCTTTGCGGGCCCGCTGGGGGTTCACTTGAAACAGGACGTGAAGGAGAAGCTCTGGAAGGGTGAGTTCTGTGAGATCTTCTCCCTTCTCCCCTTGGAGGACTTTATTGAGGATGATAAAAAGGATGAGAAGAAGGAGGAGGAGGAAAAACGGAAGCGGTATCGTAAGATTCCGAAATCCTTTGGTAACTGGTGAAGGGCGTTTTGCGTGCTGGCCAGCGTGCTCGGTGAGAAATCGCCGGGGTTATGCTCGTCCCTGTTTTGCTACTTGGACGGCATTTGGGAAGCATACCGTACCTATGGGGGGCTGGCGTGGTGGCGGTACGACGAACAGTTCAGGCAACGGCTGGCGGCTAATCCGGGTATGAGGTGGGATCAAATGGATCTGCCTCTCTGGATGAAACTGATGATGGCGCAGAAGGCGCAGCCCTTTCAACACTCGGCCGGCGCAAAGGGGCAGTCCGCCTCGTCGGCCGCTTTACAAAAGGGCTTCTGCTGGCTCTACAATGAAGGCCAGTGCAAATGGGGAACCACTTGTCGATTTAAGCACGATTGCTCCGGTTGCGGGGGTGCTCATGGGCTCAATCGCTGTTTCAAAAAGGGTAAGTCTTCACCCCAGTGAGGCTAGACGTGATGGAGCCGTGGCAAAGCCGCTACGGTAATAGGGCTGATGCCTCAGTACTCCGGGCGGGTTTTGGGCACGGATTTTTTATTCCATTCCGGGAGCGGGGGGGGGGGTCGGGGAGGTTGCACATCCTGAAATCGGTTGCGGATTTCCCGGGCGTGGTGCGGGAAAAGCTGGGTAAGGAGGTCAAGCTGGGGCGGATGGCGGGCCCGTTCACAGTACCTCCATTGGAGGGCCTCCGGGTTTCCCTTCTCGGGGTGGTTCCAAAGAAGGAGCCGGGGAAGTTCAGGCTCATTCACCATCTCTCCTACCCGAAAGGGGAGTCGGTGAACGATGATATTGGTAAGGACTTGTGCTCGGTCTCGTATGCATCATTCGACCGGGCAGTCGAGCTGGTTAAGCGGGCCGGGCGTGGGGCACTTATGGCCAAGGTGGATATTGAGGCCGCGTTTCGGCTGCTGCCGGTCCACCCGGACTGTCACCACCTGCTGGGATGTTTTTTCGAAGGGGCGTATTTCGTGGACTTATGCCTCCCTATGGGTTGTTCCATTTCATGCTCCTATTTCGAAAAATTTAGTACTTTTCTCGAATGGGTGGTGCGGGTGGAGGCGGGGAGCCGTTCGGTGGTGCACTATTTGGACGATTTCCTTTGCGTGGGGCCGGCTGCCTCCTCGGCGTGCCTGCAACTGCTTTGGAAAATTTAATGGGTGGCGGGCCACTTCGGGGTGCCGCTGGCAGCGGATAAGACAGAGGGCCCGGCGACGTGCCTTAGTTTCCTGGGGTTGGAGATAGATTCGGTTCTGGGCGAATGCCGGCTGCCACGGGACAAGCTGGAAGGGTTGAGAGGAGCAGTGGCTGCTGTGGCTGTGGCGCGCAAGGTTACTCTGCGGCAACTGCAGTCGTTGATTGGAATGCTGAATTTTGCATGCCGTGTCATACCTATGGGGAGGGTCTTCAGCCGCAGCCTATCGGCTGCTACGGCGGGGGTTCGATCCCCATGCCACTTCATTCGGGTGTCGGCAGCCATGAGGGCCGATTTGGGCATATGGGATGCCTTCTTGCGGGATTTCAACGGGACGGTGTTCTTCCGGCATGAGGGCAAGTCGGCGGCGGAGCTGGAGCTATTCACGGATGCGTCGGGTAGTGTGGGCTTCGGGGCATACTTTGGCGGGAGATGGTGTGCGGAGAGGTGGCCGGAGACATGGGGGTCCAGCCCGATCATGCGCAACCTGGCTTTCCTGGAATTGTTCCCGTTGGTCGTCGCGATGGCGCTGTGGGGCGTGGGGCTGCGCAACCAAAAAGTGGTCTTTTTCTCGGACAACATGGCGGTGGTGCACGCAGTGAAAAATCAGTCTGCTGCCTCTAAGCCGGTGGTTAGGTTGCTGCGGCATTTTGTGTTAATGTGTATGTCATGGAATGTTGTTTTTCGCGCGCGTCATGTCCCTCGGTACTTGAACGAAGTGGCTGACGCTCTGTCTCGTTTTCACTGGTCCCGATTTTGGACGGCGGCGCCAGGGGCATTGAAGGAAGGGCAGGCTTGCCCGGACGAGATATGGCAGCTGGGAGCATCCTGCTTGGGGGACTTGTGAAGGCTTCGCTGGCACCGGCCACATGGGCCTCCTACAGTAAGGTCTGGGATTCTTGGGAACAGTCATT